TGAACCCCAGACCTCCATTAGGGCGCGTTCTGACCATTATTTCGAGGCGGATCCAACCGTGGCGACAGTGGGATTCGGGGGGGTTGGACATTGCGGGACTTTCCAGCTTCGAGAATCCTTGGGGGGACTGAAGTTCTTGGTGCAGCTTGCACGAGGCTTAACAAAAAAGCCCTGGCGTTGGAAGGTCCTGGAGGTCGCTAGTACGTCGTGGATTGCTGGCCCTCGCCTCATAGCGCCACGCGCATTCGTCTCCGAAGCTTCCAGACGCTACGTTGATGGAGGGCGATGTTTTCATATTCTTGCCCCCGCTTGGGACATCTACAGATTTATCAACCGCAAGGTTTGAGGTATCCGACAGCTACAGGGTCGGATGGTGGCTCGTGGCTGACTTTCAAAATTGTTGTCGCTTCGCGAATCCCCACCAGCCCATCCAGAAACGATGCCCAGAGGAATTGCCTCGATCAGAGAAGTGGGCAGCACACAGAGGAAGCCATTATGAGACATCTTGGGATATCTTGAGCCATCTTGGAGGTCATTTTGGGCTCTCCCAGACGCTCTTGGAGTCATCTTAATCCGTGCCCCCCCCCAAGAGGCCTCCATGTGGCTAAAACCTGTGTAGAATCAATGATTAGGCATTCTCGCCGAGGCCTCTTGGAGCATCTTGGGTGCATCTGGGGGGGCTCTTGGGGCCTCTTGGGGGTCTCTTGGGGGCCTCCGGGGGGCCTCTTGGGGGCCTCTTGGGGCCATTTTGGGGCCATCTTGGGACCTCTTGGGGCTTCCTGGGCGCTTCTTGGGGCCATCTTGGAGGGAGTCGATCAAACAAGAGGGGGGGGTGAATTAGCGCCCCCCCTCGGAAGCCCCTAAAATCGCCTCTTGGACCCCTCTTGGAACGCTCTTGGAGTGCTCTTGGGCGCTCTTGGGGCCGTCTTGGGGCTCTTTTGGGGCTCTCTTGGGGCCCTCTTGGGCCATCTTGGAACCATCTCCAGGCCTCGGATGGCCATCGGAAGCGAAAAGGCGAGAAAGCAAAAATCATTGATTTTCCTTAGGTTTTGGGACGATTTTGGCCTCTTCGGGGCCTCCTTGGGGAGCTGTTTGGCCACTTGGAGTTATCTTGGGGCCGTCTTTGGGCTTCTTGGAACCATCTTAGGAGCCATCTCGAGCGATCTTGCGCTATCTTGAGCCATCTTGGAGCTCATCTTGGGTTCTCTGAGGCGCTCTTGGAGCCGTCTTGGGCCATCTGGGACGCTCTAACTACCAGCGGCCCCCCCCGTCCAGGTCCAGGGGAGGGGGTAGGGGGAGGGGTAAACCCCTCCCCAAGGGGGAAGAGGGAGGGGTGGAAGAGGATCTGCTCTAGACCACCTACGCCCAGAGGGCTGGTGGGACTGCGCTCCCGCCCAGGACCCCCTCACACTTCAGGACCCGAAAGCTTGACACATTGGCAGATGCTGGAAGGGATCGTGGCGCATCTTCAAGATCGCCTTCCCGCGTCGCTGCGTCGTATGGTTTCGGGTAGCTGCATGGATGGACGGCAATTCCCTATTAACGCTGTTATGTGTTGTTAGGGCACGCTGTCGAGCTTAGTCTGATCGTCGGCATTGGAAAGACGCACACCCCTCTTAACGTGCATGTCCGTGAGGCCGTCGTTTCCCCAGCGGACGCAAACCGTAGTGAAACCACCACCTGCACTGGCTCTGGGAGAGTGCATTGGAACATCAGCGGTGCGTGATGGGTTCTCCTACTGGTCTTCGACATGTACGGTCGGCCCGAGTTCTAAGATCGAGGTCGGCTTGGGCAGGGTACCTTAATGTTCTTCGCGCTTGTTGGATACTATTGCGCATCCTGGGGAGAGCACCTATGGATGTTATGTGTGTTTTGGCCGGCGAAGGGTCTCATGTTATGTTCTTGAAGGATGTTTTTTCTGTCTTAGGTTCGCCCGTACCAATTATTAATATTACTATCTTCTCTCCCCTGGCTCTATCCGGAAAATGCTTTGCCCTCTCTGCGTGTTGATACGCAAACTGTCAAAAAATGTGTTTCTTCTGGCGCTTTACACTCAGACTGTTTCCGATGTTTCGAAATTGTGCTCCCACCGCAGCGTGGCCCTCCTTTTCGGATGAACTCTGTGGTCCCGTCGTTCAGACTTGCGCTCTCGCATCAGCGATGGTCACTTCTCTGAATCTGAGTCCTTATCGTTGCCGCCCCCCTCATTTCCCCTCCGCCTTCCCCTGGTCCTCCTGCTCCTCCCGCTCCTTTCACTACATCTCCTGCTACTCCTGTGCGTCCTCGTCCTCCTCCTGCTTCATCCTCTTGTTCTTCCTGCTCACCCGCCACCTCCTCCTCCAATGTAATCAGCTCCCTCTTGCCCGATTCCGAAAAAACTCGAGGGGGCCCTCTTTGGAGTTCCAGGTCCACCATGACACGCGCCGGCGGATATAGACACAACAGCGACATGGTTTTGGATGGGTGGAAGGGGTGGGAGTTCAGAGCTGGCGCGACCGCATCTTACTTGTCCAAACACATCTTCACCATCCTCTCCCTCCCGGCATCTCCTGATGTCCTCCCCCCTAGTTCCCCGCATCATCCTTGCGGCCGTCATCGTCGCCATCCTCATCGTCGTCGCCATCCCTTCCTGTTCCGCATTTGCCCATTCACCCTTCCTTCTCATCCTCCTCCCGTGTGTGGTTGAAGTGCGAGTGAGGTTTCGACGCAAGAGTGGCGGTACCCCTCCGATACCCCGCGGCGAGTGTCCATCGTCCTCCTCCTCCTCCTCCTCCTGCGCCCCCGGCCCCTTTCCCCATCCTCGTCATCGTACTTGTCCTTCCGGCCTTTTACCACATTCACCATTATCATGAACTGCCTCCTCCCCATGAGCATTATCATTTACTACCTCCTCGCATATCGTTCCCCTCCTCGCATATCGTTCTCACTATCATCGTTCTCTTCATCACACGCCCGCCCCGCTATTTGCACTTTCTCCAACTCCTCCTCTCACCCCATTCTCGTCACCATCCTCCACCAGCTGCTGATTGCCATGATCTTCCTCATTCTCCTGCCCCTCCTCCTCCTCCCTCCCCCCTCCCCCCACAGTCCCCCCTTCCCTCTCCGCCCCCCCCATTCCCCAGCGCGCATTCACGTGACAAGTGCGTATGTTCAACCCTTTCGGGTTACACGGGTGGGTGTCCGGTTTCGTTGTAAGATGCCGTCCTTGCACGGTGTGGACAGGAAGGAGGGCGAGAAGAAGAAAGGAGGGCAAGGAGGAGGAGGAGGAGGAGGAGGAGGGCGAGGAGGGGGAGGAGGGGGAGGAGGAGGAGAGATGACAATTGGGGGGGGGGGGGGCGGACGAGGGTGGCGGATGATGCGGCGAGGGTCGAAGGAGCTCCCCTCTTCGCTCGTCGCCGCCGCGGTCGGCTGCTGCCGCCGGCCCAGACGTTCGTGTCCTGCACGCGGAACCCGCGGAATTGCGGCGGCACCGGCGGGTGCGGGGGTGCCACCGTGGAGCTGGCGTTCGACATGATCAAGGACCTCCTCGTCCTCTTTGCCCTCGTCGTCGTCGGCGTCGTCTTCGGCGTCGTCGTCGTTCCCATCCAGCTCCCCCTCCTCACCTTCTTCCTCCTGCCTCCCATCCTCGCTCTCTCCTCCTCACGCTGCCTCTGCCACTCCTGCGCCTCACACCCATGTTGTCTTCCTCCGCCTCCTCATCCTCTCCCTCCTTCCTTCCTTCGTTCCCTCCTTCCTTGCTTCCGTGATTGTCCTCCTTCTCCTCGCCCTCCTCCTCTTCTATTGCTCCTCCTGTCTCTCCTCCCTTCCGTTATCCGTTTCATCCTACCCCGTGTCCTCTCTTTCCCCTTCTTCTTCCAACAGCTTCTCTTACTGCTCATCATCATTCTCCCTCACATCGCACCGTGGGGTGATCGTCAAGGAATGTGACGGGTAGGCGTCGGACCCTGGAGGAATCCTCATCTGATGAGGGCGGCAGTGATGTCCATGGTCAGTCCACGACTGGAGTTCCGCCGGCTTCCAGGCCCTTGGTTTCTTATCCAGCGGTTCCTGACGCAGCGCCCTGGCCGTAGCAGTCTCCGCTTCCCCCATTGCTTCTCTCCCCCTGGCCCTCCACGCGCGTGAGAGCGCAAGCTCGCGGGGACGGCATGGACTGGAATGGAATGGAATGGAATGGAATGGAATGGAATGCAGGCGGAATGGAATGGAATGCAATGCAATGCAATGGAATGGGACTGAATGAAACGGAATGGAATGGAATGGAATTGAGCGGATGGCCCTCGGGACAGCATTCAGCAATCAAATAGCCAGGCCACGACATGCAACATTTCAAGCGACGGTGGAGGACGAGGACAAGGTCGAGGACGAGGAGGTGTCGCGGACGAGGAGCACGAGGGTGAGAACGAGGAGGTGGCGCTTCGGGTGTGCTTGCCCTGCGGCCCGCCTAAGAGGAAGGACAAGGAGGGGGAAGGGGAGGGGGGGAGGGAGGATGAGGAGGAGGAGGAGGAGGAGGAGGAGGAGGGGAGGAGGAGGAGGAGGGGAGAGGGGAGGAGAGGAGGAGGAGGAGGAGGAGGAGGAGGAGGAGGAGGAGGGAGGAGGAGGAGGAGGAGGAGGGGGGGGAGGGGGGGGGGGGTCCCTGGCCACTTTGGCTCAAGCCGCCTGGCAGCGGGCGAGCCCCCTTCTGCTCAAGCGAGCTGGGCATGGCCCTTGTTCGGCCACTCGCAGAGGGGGGGGGCCAGAAGGGGGAGGGCTTCTTAGAAGCACCCCTGCTGCTTAGAAGGCGCGGGCCTTCTCCATAGACGCAGGGCCGGCGCCTTCTAAGAAGTAGCCTCCTTCTGAGAAGCCCTCCCCCGTCCTTCCACCCCCCTCTGCCTGCCGCCAACTTTTGCGTCTGGAGGTCTGCTGCTGTGGAGTTTGAGACGAGGCTTCGACGGGGTGGCACTGGTGGTACATGCCGCAGGCCTCGCCGCACGGCCGCGGAATGGCGAGCGCGGCGGGAGTGGGCTAGGGAGAGCGCGCGGAAGGCCGTCGGGCGAGCCGCAGCGCTCCCGCTCCCTGGGCATGGAGGTGCCGTCGTCGCCCTTCGAGCTCGTCGGCAACGGCGAGCTGTGGGACAGGCTCCTGGCGATCGTCTCGGCCTTGTCCGCCCTTCTTCAGCGAGCGAAGAACGGTATAAAATAAACTTTTCCGCCGTCGGGGACACCTGCCCCTGGGCGGCTGGGAAATTTATACCCCTACGGTGCCACCGTAAGGGTATAGACTTTCCAGCCGCCCTGGGACAGGCGCCCCCGACAGCGAAAAAGTTTATTTTACACCGTTCTTCGCCCTGGCCGAGCAGGCCCCAGAGTATCTGGAGGCGGAACGTAGCCGTACATGCGCGTGGAGGTCGTGGTTTCCGCTTTGCTTCGGCACCGCCTGAACCAATTGCGAGGTGCACAGCGTGGGCCGCGTCTTGGCCGAGCGGCATCTTCGCAATGTATTCCAGATGTTCCTGGAAGTTTGTTCCTGGTTGCGGGCATGGGGAAGCAACCGAGGGCGAACAACAATGCGACCTTGTGTATTCAGTTTCATTGTCTTGGAAGTCCAGGAGAAACTTGCAGAGGCTGCAAAGTCCGGTGGTCTCCCCGCGACGTACAAGTTGAACGCAGAAGTCCCTCATGTTGCACATAGTGGTCCGCCCAGTCCTTTTCCACATGGTCCAGAGCACGGAGGAACCACATTTCCCCAGCCGAGGGACATGAAGGAGTACAGGCTCCTGCGGGTCTACCTCCTGAGGGTTCCGGTCCTGTTGCGGGCGTTGGTGGCGCGGCTGTTGCCAAAACAGTGGCGAACAAAGTTGGCGGTCCAGAATATGTTTGCATTTGTGCACAACAGCAGGACTTTATTTTACTCGAAGCGCACCAATTCTCGAGTCTGACGTCCGTTCGCACTCGGCTTCACCCTGGATTCACACAGAGCGCATGCGTCTGAGGCTCGATGCCTCGGCGCCAGAAGAATTGCAAACCCGAGGAAAATGTGATTGTCGAAATAAAGTTGTGCACAACAGCAGGGCCAGACGGACTGCGTTCCAAATGGTGGAGACCTCGATAGAAGAGCTCCTGGCAGAGACCGCGCTCGTGGTCGTGACCGTGGCGATCACGCCCGGGGGGCCCACGACGATCGTCGCAGCTACGAGCACGACGCTCGCGATGACGAGCTCGTCCGTGACGCAGCGCAGCTCGTTTCTCCAGACCCCCGTCTGGGTCGCCAGTCTACCGCGCGCACTCGGCGCCTCGATGGCCAGACGCAGCAAGAGCAGAGGGCGAGACCGCGGATCCGAAATGAGCGGCGTGCGTGTGCCAGAGCGCGCAGGCTTCGAGGGAGACGGCCGGATGACTGCAGCGAGTGCGCCAGAATGACAGGAGAAGATTCGGAGTGTAGTCGGTCTGGAGCCCGCCTCTCCGCCCCCGCCCCTTCCTTCTATCTTCACCGCCATTCACCTTCATCTCCCTCTTCCCCCCAGTGTGCGGATCGGGCGGAAGTTTTCCTATTCGGCCAGCTCGCTTGCACCCGTCATGTGTCGCAGAATGTCGCAAAGGGGGATGACGGGGAGCATGAGGGAATTGGAGGAGGGATGGAGGAGGAAAAGAAGGGAGGAGGGGCCTTTCAGCGCCTGCGAAGGCCAGGCAAACTGTGTCTGGCGACAGGCACACTTGTTCGGAAGGCGGCAGGGAGGAGTAGGAGGAGTAGGAGGAGGAGGAGGAGGAGGAGGAGGAGGACGACGACGACGACGACGACGACGGTGACGTTCACGATGGCGACGACGACGACCACGACAATGTCGACTCAGAAATCCATTCGTAATGGGCCCCCGGGTCTATTTAGGCCACTTTTTCGAGCTGCGTTGACCCGTGGCGATAATAGGGCACCCCATGGCGAAACATTAATTGTTTTCGATCCCTGAGATTCGACGACGACGACTATGACGACGACGAAGACGACCATGACGACGACGACGACGACGACGACGACGACGACGACGACGACGACGACGACGACGACCACGAGGACCACGACAATACAATGACGACGGCGGCGGCGGCGACGACGACGACGTCGACGGCGGGGCAGCTATGGGCCCTCGACGGCCGCCCAAGGCCTCCTGGAGGGACGCGGAGAAAGCCACGGCGGCGGCGGCCCGCGCAGCTCCCCGAGGAGCACGGCGGCATACCCCTGGCAGTCGAGTGGCCCTACGAGTCGGGGGATGGGTCCACCCGGGAGTGCAGGATGGACGTCTTCAAAAAGGCGCCGCCGTCCCCTCTGGGCCGCCCAGATGTCGCCGCGCCGCGGCCACCGGTGCAAACTCCGCCTCGGGCGCGGTGGGTTCGCCGTGGGTTTTTGGCGGCGCCGGCTGCGTCTGCTTGGGCGCGGGACGAAGGGGTTGCCGTGGGTTCTCCGTGGTGTCGGCGTCGTTCACTTGGGCGCGTCGAGAACGAACGGCGCAGAGACATATGGGGTCGGAGT